TTCAAATCCAGCCTCAGCTACTTAGCGAGGCCCTTTCCGGAAACAAATCAGATCTGGTGGTGGTGGTGGCTGGGGGATGCTACAACCTGTATGCCAGCAGAGTGAACACAGCTAAAACGAAAGTCAACACACTGGGATGTACACGGGACTGGGATGTACACTTCCCAGGACGCTGCATGGAGGGACGAAGGGATGGAAAACATCTTAGCAGAGTTAGGGAAGGAGGTAAAGGAGAGAGATTGATGATTGTCACGGTTGAAAGAACCTGCCTCAAAACAAACAAACAAACAAAAAAACAAAAAAAACCCAACCAAAGTATTTCAGAAAATTAGAAGAATTTTAAGAGGAGGGGGGAAAAGAAAAACGAGATTACTAAGGCCAGAGGCTAAGAGAGTCTCTCTCTCTCTCTAATACAGATTTACTTGTACTTATTTTATTTGATATGCATTGGTGACTTGCCTTCATGTAGTATCCAGGCACCACATGCATGCAGTACCGACAGGCACCAGAAGAGGGCACCCGATGCCCCCGGAGTTGCAGGGATGGGGTTGAGAGCCATCATGACGGTAGGCTACTAAAGACAAATGTGGTCCCATAGCACTCGAAGGAAGGGCTTTGCAGTAGGCACCGGCACCCCCACAGTGGGATTTTGGAGCAGGGGAGAGACACCAGGGTAGAAGATGAATATTACTTTGACATGTGGGAATGTACAGCCAGAAAGCAAAGAGAAGGTCGCTGAGTGGAAAATTACAAAGACAAAAGTAACAAAATACCCAACCAAGCTGCTTACAGGATCAGGAGGAGAAAGTTTTGTTTGGTGAACGGTTTTGAGGGGTTATGGCTTCAGCCTGGACAGCCTGGTGGTGGAGAGAGGCCGGTACTCACCTCCCAGGCTAGCCCGCTTTCTGTTTCCCCCTTTTATTCTGAGTGGGATAGTCTTTCCCTCCCAGGTAATCCTTCCTGGAGATGTCCTCACGGGTGACCTCAGCCAGAAGTGTGTCTCCTGGGCTATCCTAAACCCAGACAAGATGGCAAAGACGGTTAACCATCTTTGGAGATTAGGATAAGGTCTTAATCACCACCCAGGTAGGGAGTTTGCTAAACACGGTCCAGGCTGATCAAACAGGGTGGGGCAGGCAGAATAAAGAAGTCGCAGATAGTAAGAGTGACTAGGTATCATGGGTGGGGGATTCTGGGTAATCTGACTTAAAAGATACCAAATTAGACAGGGTGGAGAAAAGTAGGAGAGTTCAAAGGCGAAGTCTGTTTGAAAAAGAACCCAGAAGAAGTCTAAGCAGAGTTTGTATACAGAGATTTTTTTTTTGTTCATACTCAGAAAAGTTACCTACAAAATAAACGAATAATAAAGGTGTTACACGTCAGAAGCTGAGACCCATAAATACCAATGGTTCCTCACTAAGGGAATGGGCTTTCAGAAGGAGGAGAATGAAAAGGCACCGTGTGGGCGTGGTGGGGAAAGCGAAGAAAGGAAATGATAAACAACAGCCATGGTGATACTGTGGGTGGACATTTATGAGGCTAAAACTCCAATTCCTGAGGCTAAACACCAATAAGACAGAAGTCAAGTAATAATGAGGTGTTACTAATGTTTACACCCACCAAGAGGAAAATGGTAGCATAAATTAATTTCACACATTAAGCTAAACACAGTAAAACTTCTCACCATTACACAACTCAAGTGATATGTTAACTTGTGACTAATTCAAATATCCCAATTCAAAAACCTAAGGAAAATGGCTGGCAGAGCAACTCAGGTTAGGAGCCCATGCATTCGGGCTGCGTCCCCAGACCCCCATGGCAGGAGAGTATCCACCCTTAAGAGTTGTCCTCTGGATGGGCAGTGGTGATGCACGTCTTTAATTCCAGCACGCAGGACACAGAAGCAGGCAGATCACTGTGACTTCAAGGCCAGCCTGGTCTACAGAGCCAATTCCAGGACAGCCAGGGCTGCACAGAGAAACCCTGTCCCAAAAAACCAAAATGCCTCTCCCCCAGTGAAAAAACAAAAACAAAACAAAAAAGATTTGTCCTCTGACCTCTACATGCATGCTGTGGCATGTGCACACACATATACAAAAATACACACATATACACACACGCACACACACATATTTACACACACATACATACATACACACATATATACACATACACACATACATATATACACACATATATATACACATATACACACATACACATATACACTCACATATATACACACATGCACACACATACACACACATACATACATATATATAGATACATATACACACATACACACACATATATATACACACATACACACACATATACACACATGCATACACATATATACATATACAACCATGTACACACATATATACACACATACATATATATACATACACACATATATACACATACATATATACACATACACACACATATATACACTCACATATATACACACATATGTACACACATGCACATATGCATACACATGTTCACACAGATAAAATAGTAAGGAAAAATGAGCTTCTGTCATTAACAAAGCAACAGAAATAACAAGAGACTCTCAAAAAATAAGTGTCCCCTGTACACATACTTACAGACACACAAATACACACAGGCTGTGACATGAGCACACATCCTCACGGACACACAAAAAAGCTGTCCTTTGTCCACACAGTGTGAAATGAACACATATACACTCACAGTACATACATGCAAATAAATACATAAATAAGAATATATCTTTATGCTTAAAAGATGAGTTAAATACACAGATAGATTAACAGCTCCCCAGGTCTCTGAAAATGGTAGGGCTGAAGCTGCTTTTGCTACCTCCAACCCTGCAATTCCCTTCACAGCCCCACAGTGGGGAACTTTGGAAGGACAGCAATGGCTCCTGACCAAATTTTATATCACAGGAAACTGTTGAGTTTCTTCCATGGGAGCTGCTATGGAAAAACAGGTACACAGGGAGTCTAGCAGCTGCTAACCAAGTCGCCAAACTGTTCTGTCAAATAAGGGAAAAAATGTGGAGGGCTACATATTACAAAGATGTAGCAAGACCTTGGTCTTCATGCAGAACCCAATTCCTTCAGGATGCCCGTTGTTGCCTGGTCTGGAGAAGACATGCTCTGTGAGATCAAAACAGACCCATCTTCCTTCAGAGTGTTGGGAAGAGATGTTCCTTCCCCTCCCTCCCTCCCTCCCTCCCTCCCTCCCTCCCTCCCTTCCTCCCTCCCTTCCCTGAGAACTGAATCCAGAGCCTTGTGAATACTAGACAAATGCTCTTCCACTGACCTACATCCCTAGGCCAGACGATCTCAAAAGCACAAATTATTTAATAAGAGTTTTGATTAATGTGGCCATATTAACATGAGATTGCTAGGGAAATGGTATGGTGGCTAAAATTCTTGCATGAGGTCTGGAGTTAATATCCCCAGAACCCATATAAATGCCTAGTGGGTGTGGTGGCCTCTCTGTAATTTCAGTGCAAGCTGGCTGGCCAGATTAGTCGTATCAGTGAGCTCTAGGAGAAGAGCAACCGAGGAGAATTCTCAAAGTCTTTACGGTAAAGGAGATGGCTCAGAGGTTACAGTGTTTGCTGTGTAAGTGCGATGACATGAGTTCAAATCCCCCAAAGTCAAACAGAGCCCAGCACATGCCTATCCCAATGTTTCCACAGAAAGTCGAGAAACAGGAGAATCCCCATGACCTCACAGGCAAGCTAGTGTGAGGGTTGCTGAGGCAAAGTAGAAACAGACCCACAAGGAGGAAAATGAAGACCAACACCATGGCTGTCCTCCACATGGAGCACACATGTGGCCTCAGTCTCACTCACACACATACACACACACACACACACACACACACACACACACACACACAGAGAGAGAGAGAGAGAGATTTTGAAAGTGAAGTCTTTCTCAAAAGACCACCGAAAGATAACCCACAAACCAGGAAGCAATGATAGCATAATATTAAAGGATTATTATGTCAAATATATTTATAGAATTAAAAATCAATCAGACAACTCAAATAATGCAACAGATTAACAAGCAAGCACCTCACATTTCATGGCAGACAAAAACCGCAGTTCACCGGCAATTTCCCAAAACATGCTCTAGCCTTGTTCATATTGACAAACATACATTTGTGGGTTTTTTTTTATTCTCCATCAAGTTGTCTAGAAATTAAAAATTCTCAGCTCCACAATGCCAAGTATTAGGAATCAGAACAATGAGGCCTTGTTTTTCATTGTGAGGAGTGATGTGTGCTGAATTGACACAGGAGGGTAATTCACAATCATCTATGAAGATGGTGTCATCTTCTAAGCTACCTTCTGGGGACCCTCACTCAGGTGCACAAGGGAAAATGTACAGTAGTGATTGTCCTTGGCTAACGGTTACTGAGGAGGGAAATGGGAACAATATTCATTTCAGAGAAAGCAGATGAATTATGGCCTGTGCATGTATTGAAATAATATATCCAGCTGTCAGATGAGTGGTAGCCACAGTCATGGTCACAGATAAATCATATACACAATATTGCACTTAAAAAGGTTATGGGATAATCTCTGCAGCATAACTCCATTTGTGTAAAGTCTCAAAACCATGTAAACTTAAAGAAATTGGTCAAATAAGGAGCCTTTAAATGTTACTGTATAATCTGTACTTTGTAATATTTGATCACTGCATGGTTCACCAACTTCATGCTAACAGAAAATTAAGCATTAACTCAGATGCTAACAAAAAATGCTTGCAGTACCAAAAGCTTTAAAATTCATCTACAGAAATTTGGTATGTCAATAGAGAATTAGAAAGATTATTCCAGGCTACTTCTAAGATGCCGTTAGTGAATCGTACTTTATCCTAAGTTCCTGTACTTCCAGCCATCGGACCATGAAGTACCGTCACCAACCAGCATGGGCTGGCTGTGACTTTTGTGGAACTTCTGTCCGGCGACTGCATGTCTAGACCAGCAAAGCCTTCTGTCTGGGCTGTGGCAGCGGGCAAGGCTGGGCGACATGTCCAGGGCACAGATCTCGGCTCTGGTGTGCGGTATCGGAGGGTTTGGTGCTCTTGTTGCTGCCACTACGTCCAATGAGTGGAAAGTGACCACCCGTGCATCCTCTGTAATAACCGCCACCTGGGTTTACCAGGGACTGTGGATGAACTGCGCAGGTAACGCCTTGGGCTCCTTCCATTGCCGGCCGCATTTCACCATCTTCAGAGTTGAAGGTAAATATCAGAGCTGTGTCTGGGGCTGGAGCGGAATGTGACCCTCCTCTTCCTGAGCTGAGTCAGCAAGCTGTTGACAATTTCCCACTCGGTCTTGACGTGTTAGGGCCACGTTTGCATGTGATGGGTGGGCGCTCCGTTGGCTGAAAGAATTAAACGCCTGCTTTGAACAGTGGAAAATTAAGAACGACCTTACGGATCTTGCAGGCCTGGAGCAGGACCCCAATGGGAAAGGGTGAAACATTGACTTAAGGCTTAGTGTTAGTATTCAGTGAGTCAGAGAGAAATCTTCACACGAGTCCTACCCGCTGTTGAAAGACCTGTCATTGATTTCCAGTCTCCCTCTTGAAAGACAGCAGTGAATGAAGGACATGCCACAGTGGGTCCCATGTTTCCTCCTCTAGAGCCACATTTAGTGATAAAACAACAGCACCATAAATGTCAGTTAACTGAATGAAAATGTTTTTGCTTCTTTTTGATTTTCAAATGTGTGTAGTCTTCCTCTTCAGAACTCTGGATCTCAAAGAGGACAGTTTTGTTTGGTTGGCTCTTGGTATTAAAGGCCCCTTTTGCACTTTAGAGGCCTCCAGAGAAATAACTGTCATTTGCTTCATAGCTTTTTAATAATCTCCGTCTGACCTTCCTTGCTGAAAAGTGTATACTTCTGCAAATATGCCCACGATGTAAGACTGTCAAGTTAAAAACCCTGCCCAAGTGCTGTTAAGATACAGGCTTTTCACAGTCAAGCGACAATACTGTACCTTGGCCTCAGTGGAGAGAGAGAGAAGGAGGGAGAGAGAGAGAAGAAAAATTTAACCAGAAGTAACTAAAGAATAATATTTTATGGGGCTTTGTGTCAGGTCTGCCCAATGTTAGTTCCTAGTGAGTGTCAAGGGGAGACGATAGATTACTGCAATAAAGTCAGGAGATTGCTTAGAACAAGCCATGGGCATGTCCAAGTGTGGTTAGCCCAGGAAAGCCCTTGGTAGTGACATGCGCTTTTCTAGAATCTATTAGAGGAATCACTGTTGTCTTCCTACTTAGTCCTGACTTCCTCAATAGAAAACTTCCCTTGGAACAGGGAAGAAGACCAGAGGAAAAGGAATGTTTATAGCAATGACTCCCTGCACGCCTCCACGGGTCACCATTTCCCGTACTTCTGTGTGGCAATGGCTCCCTGCACGCCTCCATGGGTCACCATTTCCCATACTTCTGTGTGGCAATGGCTCCCTGCACGCCTCCACGGGTCACGGGTCACCCTTTCCCGTATGACTTAGCCTATCTTTATCTTGAGCAGCACGTGGGTAACCCTGCTCCTTTGTTCGTGACTGAATATATATGTTTAAGCAAATGTTCCAGCTTATCGTGTTTTATTCTATATCCCTAAATGGAGCCTAGTGATGGAGAAAAATACACGCTCAACCATGGCCCCCAAGTGTCTTAAAGAGCCATGACAGATCTCTGTACAACTTGAGTGGTTCCTTCCAAAATGCAGCTTAGAAAACACACGGGGTTGACAGCGCTCCAAACAATAATCTACCCTTAAAACTTAGTTTTAAAATTTTGAAACATGCATCATCATTGCCATCACCACCACCACCACCACCATCATCACTGTGTATATACACACAGTGTATGTGTGTGCGTGTCCGCACGCTCGTGTGCATGTGTGCAGCTATATGCATGCCAAAGCACGTGTGTGGAGGCCAAAGAAGTATTTCTGGAGTCAGCTCACTCTGTCCTCCTTAACTCATTTTGGGGACCTAAGATCTGCATTCCCAGATTTTACTATTGATTCCTATTTCCAAAGAAACTTCAAGTTTCCAAATGGCAGCTAGAAGAGATGGCTGTTTTTCCTTAGTTTCTACTGCAGGAAACACTACCTTGCCCACAGACACCAGAGAGTCATTAGAAGTCATTTTATTGATACAATTTTTTTTCTTAAAGACCAGTAGTATTTGGTTTTGCCCCTGTCTCTTGCCTATCTAGTTTCTGGTTCCTGGTCAGCTAAGCAGTGTCAGGGATGGGTTCCATCTCGTGGAGTGGGCCTTAAGTCACATCAGATACTGGTTGGTTACGCCCACAAGCTCTGTGACACCATCGTCCTCGCGCATCTTGCAGGCAGGACAGACTGTAGGTCAAAGGTTTTCTGGCTGGGTTGGTGTTTATGTCCCTCTCTTGGTACCTTGCAGGCGCCTTTTCGCACGAAGAGACTAGAGTGTAGGGATAAAGTCTCCGTGTAGGCCCTAGCTTGACTTCTCCGTGTTCAGTGGCTTTGTGTGGGTGTTTTCCTGCCATTTTGCAGAGAGCACCCCTTTGTCTTAGCAACAGCCTGGGTTGTTTGGGGATTTCCATGAGGTCCCCTGGGCCAAGAACTCAGTCGATTGTAACCCAGTCCTGCTACTAGAAGCCTCATCATGAAGCAAGAGATGACCAGTTGGGACTGAGTGAGATTTCCAACATTTAATCTATGAGAAAGAATCTCTGTTCATGTCTACAAGCCTTGGCAAAGAGGCTGGGACCCACGGAATCCTAGAAAACAGAGGGACATGTGTTCTTTATGTGTGTTTATAATAGGATTTATAGAGCACCATGTTTCATCAAAGTGTGGGCCATGGATAGACAATACATATGTCCCCGTTCTAGGAATACACAATCTCATTTCCTACAGGATCTCTAAAGAGTCCCGGGCCATTTTCTCACTAGAGGCATTAGAAAACCCCCAGTAAAAGCTCTTAGATCTAGAATTCTGGAAGACTGAATGCTTCATGAATATCTTACTTACCATGCTCATTGTTTTTCTTGTTTGTTTGTTTGTTTGTTGTGTGTGTGTGTGTGTGCGCGCATGTGCGCACTCAAGCATGTGTATGCATTCTTGTGTGTGAGTGCAGGCATGCAAATATGGTAGGCATGTGGTGGGCAAAGATAGTCTGGGTGTCAATCCTCACCTCCTGTCTTGAGAAAAGGTCTTTGTGTTTTTTTTTTTCTGCCACACACACCAGGCAAGCTAGCTCCTGAGCTTCTGGGGAGCCTCCTGCCTCAGTTTCTCAACTCCCCACAGGGGTGTTTGGGTTACTGGCCAAGCACAGTGCCTCTGGCTTCTATGTAGGCTCTGGGGATTCCAGCTCAGGTCTTCACACTTACACAGCAAGATTTCTCTCACTGAGCCTTCAGTATCCTTGTTATATGGTGACGACTTGACATACATAACACAGGCAAAATACATGTTTACTTTGCCTGACAGAAAGAACTGTCTCCATCACTGGTGGCAATTACTACCATGAAGACATCTTCAGTTCTTTGAAAGTCCGCATCTCAACAGTAAGACGGTGTTTCCAACCAAGGCTTTAGTAGCTGCTCTTTGGACCCCAGAGCCACATGGAAGCCAATGCCTCTGGTTCCTGAGGCACCCATTATAGGGGAGACTGAGGCAAGGACTCCTATTATGTGACATAGTTGCATAATGTATTTTTTTAATGTCCCGGGATTCTTGTAATCAGCCCTCATAAGACACTTGACACACAAATGCCTGTGATGTGTAACGGAAAGACTTTATACTCACAGAGACGGGCATACCTGCAAGGCCTTGTAGGGAAGTACGAGATTACCGAACGGGCAAGAGATTACCGAGCAGGACAAGGACCCGCGTCTCCTCAGGAAGAACTGTGCTGGACAGCACCCTGGACTTCTCTCTCGATGTCCAGTCCAGTTTTGTGTGCGTGACCCACTGAGTTTAGTTAGTATGTAACCACATACTAACATAACTACATAGTTTAGTTATGTAACCACAGGTAGGAGGTTATTTACAGGTGCTGAAGAAAGGGCCTGTCCCTACCCAGTGATAGGAACTGCTCAGGGAGGGGTTAGGCGTCCTGAGCCCCTCACGGGCCCTGTCTTTTGCAGGTCTTGTGCAACAGTCTTGTCACACCTGTAGCGTTTCACAGCACTTCTCCCGTCCCCCAGCTCTTACGTTATCCCCCCCCCCCACCATCTTCCACAATGTTCCTTGAGCCTTGAAGGATATCACAAGGGTGTCACTCACCAGCTGCTCCTAATACTTCGACAGATCCCGAGTATGTGAACTGAGTGGCACCTATCACAGGAAGACATTCCTAACTTCGTGTTTAGTCTTGAGAAGTCGTCTGTGCGGAACGGGGCGGTATAGTTTGAGCGGATTTAGTTATTTTACGTAAGAAACTGCACGTTTCCAGAAGTTTAATGCCATGCAAAGCCCTCTAAGATCCCTCCTGCCCTGCACAGCCCTCTAAGATCCCTCCTGCCCTGCACAGCCCTCTAAGATCTCTCTCCAGGAATGCACCCCACATTGCTTGGTACTTGCTGTATGATTTTGCTAATCTGGTTTCTACCGTGACTACTACATACTTTCTGTCTCTCTGTGCTTGGTTTTAGCTCCAGGGGGACAGGGATTTAACAGCTTCTGCCTGGACCCTTTTCTAGACCATTCTGCACAATATCCGTGTTCTTTTGTTTTTGAGACAGGGACTAACTATAGACCTGGAAAGCCTCATCCCCCGCTATGTAGCCTGGGATACCCTCAAATTTGTAGCTTTCCTCTTGCCTCTGCTCCACAAGTGTTATAATTAGAGTCAAGTGCCACCGCGGGCAGATAATGCCCATGCTCTATAAAAGTGTTGAATTAATGAGTAATCATTTGATGGGCTGAATGAATGAAGGCAGGATCTGGATCCTGGGGCACTGAGATTTTTTTCCAACAAATGCTGTGTGTTTTGTTTCATTTTGTATTGCTGTAACAGAACACAGGACAGTCATAGCACATATTATTGTAGTTTTAGCGGCCGGGAGAACCCATCACAGAATGAGTACAGCAAACCCACTTGGAAGTTTATTGATAGGGGTGAAAGAGGAAGTCGTGTGATCGACCTGGGACAGGAAAGTGGTGAAGAAAGTGAGGGACACACGGAGCTCGCTTTAAAAGGGAAGCTCTTTGCACATGCGTACAGAGCCTTACACAGCCTCAC